TCTATGTCCGTTAAAAGAAGAATCGCCTGTTACCAAGAAGAATATAGTTTTGAGCGATTGATATGGACATCTGCTGATCCCCTTATGTGACAAGTTAACTGACAACACGTCCTTCATTCATAATGAAATAAGTTCGTCATGAAAATAAGTAGAGTCGAAGACATAACAATCGGTGTATTCCAACTCTATAACTGTGACACACGTTCTCTTTACTTTTATTAGTTTGAGTAAGATGTGTTAATATAACCTTTGAACAGTCCAATTATGGACTGGTTTGGTGGGAGCTGTTGGATTTTGGTTGAGAGGATGGGTTGTATAATGGTTGATAACACATAAATACTAGGCCATGCTATGAGAAGACCAGGAAATCCCTGAATAGACAAGGTAATGGAATCTATAAATAGACCCATTAATGGATTCTCAAAGAGTGTTAAGGACCACAAAATGAAAGGCTGCAAGATTCATGGGATGTGTACAACAACAACAACAACAAAAAAGAAAATGTAATTATTATTGGGTTACACGAGAAGGCATTCCTTGTGTCAATGATGGATTCTAGGACAGAATAAAACCACAGACACAGACACGGAAAACATAAACAGAAATAGAGAAGAGGGAGAGAGATGGAGAGACAGAACGATACATAGACCGAGGCACACACTCAGAGAAAGAGATATGGGGTAAGAGTGATGTTATGTGGGGACAACTCTCGGGTAGAGACATTCACATTCACCATCGACATAATGACATAGCTTTGAGGACATAAAAGAATCCTTGTCTGGTCTGTGACAAACAACTGGACGGTTGAATGTAAACCAGCTGTTGAAAGGCAACGCGTCCTTGTAATCAGAGTCAACATCTTCGTGCCGGAAACGATAAACGTGGATCGCGAAAGTACAGGATGTGCTACATTACCCCCGGTCCGCCAGTCTGTTCCATGTTTCTTTTTTTAAAAAAAAAGAAAAAGTTCAATGCAAACACTTCCGAAATTAATAGGAGAAGAACATACTTAAAATAAAGAAGGGAAAACAACACTGCACCAGAATAAATGAGCCTGAAATACAGTGGGAGTTTTCTACACGGGCAGAGATAGTAATCTTCTCCAGGGTTACTTCAGCAGTAACCAAAACAAAACAACAACAACAAAAAAAAAAATAAATAAAAGGAAAACAATGAGTTGATGGAATTCAGCCTCCTCCCATTTCGCCATTCAATAATTATTTCTCCAATGTAACCAGCCTATGTCTGCATCGTCTAATCAAATCCTTTTTTTTTCTCTTCACCCTCTTTCTATCTGATTCAAGGATTCTCAAAATATTGAATCCCCAGTGGAACATTTTTTTTGGATGCTGGCTAAATGAGACTGGAGCTGACACAACAGAGTTTGTTTGCGTTAAAAATCTATATGGATGAACGCATTTAGAATCTCTGACTAGAATTCTTTTGGATACAAATATTTGTAAATTATTGTAGATAATAAGATATACACGGTAGGTAAGATAAATAGCACAGCTTATCATGTTTTTCGAGACGACTCAACATTTCATAGTGGATATTTTGTAGTGCAAATACGCAGTATTTCCATTCTATACTTTAGAAGTACTTAATATTGACTATTCAACATGATTTATTGGCTATTTTTAACAATGAAAAGCTGTTTTATTCATTCTTTCAATCTTCATGCGCCCGGCCTTGTTCGGGCTAAAGGCCAAAGAGCGCAACTCATTTTCTAAAGGAGACCTATACGTTCAGGTTTCCATTCCGCGGTGTCTTTTTCCACTGTTCTGTGTCGGTTCTCTTTGAGTCTTCTTCTCCAGTGTTCTGTGTCGGTTCTCTTTGAGTCTTCTTCTCCAGTGTTCTGTGTCGGTTCATCACTGAAGATTGTCTTTGGTCGGAAGCTTTTGGAGCTTTTTGTGTATAAAGAAGTCAAAACACCTCGTTCATACGTTTTGGCAGGAAGTGCTTGCACTGCGCTTTTAATATCCCGAAATAGGTTAACTTTGTGTCCCGCCCAGGAGTTTAATTTGTTTCATGAAACAAAAATACCGATGAAATAGGATATCATTTAGTCAAAGGAAACACTACAATTTGGTGCTGATATTCTCACCCTGAAGTTAAACGTACCTACATAACCTGCACCCTTTAACTTCAAGTTCATATTTGAATAATTCCAACAGTATTCACGTATTCAATTGGGTTTTCCTTGTTACTGAAGTTGGTGTAGGAACTTCTATTTGGGTGTTAATAGACGGTCACCTGTGTGTTTTTTTTTTTTTTTTTTTTTTTTCTTCTTTTTTTTTGACTTTCCTTTCATGAAGTCTTTGAAATGACTTTTGACACTTGTTTACACGCGAGGAAGATTACATTGTTGCCTCCCCATCTTTCCCCGCTCTCCCGCAATGGCTCAAAATGTTATTAGCTGCCCCTGCTCAGATCGATGTGCAGGATCATCTGCCCCTGCAGTCTGTGTCATGTTAACCCTCACCCTCCTCCTCGTGACTTGGCTCTGGTGGAAACACGAGTGTTACCAACACGGCATGCTCGAAATGGATTGCATCACGTACGAGAATCGTCTGTAATTTTATTTGCAGTCCCATCAAAGGGCAGAGTTTGATTCGAGCTCAAGTTAAGTTCCACGCAGGTGAATTCGGCACTCAGCCGCTACTTCAAAACTGCATTTAATAAAAGTATCTAATGTTTGTATGTTGTTTTTCTATAAATAAGAGAAAATTAATTGTACCGGGTACTTCTGGTAATGACACTGACAACGGTTTTCTTGTTAGATGTCGGGAGAGGGAAAAGTGGCGTTTCTGTGAAAATTTGATATATAAAGTGGCATTGAATCGCAGTCAACTATGACAGATCCTTAAGCACTGTCAAGATAGAGTTGTCACAGTTTTTGGCGAGGACATCAAACGGAAAATCACATGGGACATCACGCAGGACATCGCGCGTGACATCACACGGGACATCATACGGGACATCCCTCGGGACATCCCTCGGGACATCACACGGGACATCCCTGGGGACATCACACGGGACCTCGCGCGGGACATCACACAGGTGACGTCTATAGCTGGTCATCGCGAACAACCATCTTCCCATGGGGGATTGATGAGAGTGTTGACCTACTGAGCATCAGTTTAATTCCTGACACTAGTCTCGATCAGAAATCTGTCTGTCTGAATTATCAACATTGATTCGAATAGGCGAACCATTTGATCACTCAACTTTCGATCATGTAGAACATAATTTATTTTTTTTAAGTTTGGGCGATTATTTGATGGAGAAATGTGTATTTTTAAAAAAAAATAACTATTATAGCAACAACAAAAAATATCAACAAACAATACAGCAAACAAAACTATGAGAGGCAAATACGCAGTGAACACTTAAATGTCATCAAATGGTGTGTTGTGTTGTAAACTTTTCAATAGCGTTGACACCGATGGCTTGACGTCAAGACAATGATGTTCCTATCTAAAGTGATATCTCGAACCTCTCACGTTTTTGACATGGTAATTCCTTGCAGCGAAGCTGATAATGCCAACCAATGTCAATGCTCAACGGTTATCTCGAGAAGATAAAAAAAAAACAAAAAACAAAAAAAAAAAATGATAAAAAAAAATAAAATAAAAAAAGTATTGTCACTTGAAAAGAGTGAAAGCAAACGATGATTAGGATGGTGACAAGCTACTTCACTTCACTGTCCTGGGCTCTCCCATGACAAGCCTTTCGCAACCCCACACCCCACCCCACCCACTCCCGCCCAAAACGGATGAAACGTTATGAAAAACGTCTCCTAGTGTCAAAGGTCAAAGGTCAATTCTTAAGCCAAAGGGAATATACAATTTATTAACTTATTCCAAAGTTGCAGTTGGAGTTTTAATAATAAATCTGAACTCATTTTTTACTTTTCTTCCGCATTCATTTTTCTTCTTTTTTTTTTTTTTTACAAAAGGCCCAATGAACCATTAGACCGTATTATAGCTAGATTTTAAAAAAAAAAAAAAAAAAAAAAAAAGAACGCATTGCATTATTATTAAATTTTAGTAGAGTATTCTTATTTACTATTCTGAATACATGCTCGTATATTATGCAATGTGACTTTATTCAGCGTCTTAACTAAAGTGTAAACTTTTGCTAAGGGGACATGCCGCCATTCATCATACACCGACCTCTCGTGGCATTTTGTTTCAAGACAAGCTAAGAAATGTCACAGAAGTTTCTTCCGCCTCAGAACCGCACTTAAAAGCCTCCACTTAAAAAATCGTTATTGATCAGTACATACATGCGATAACGTTTAGGTGATTATGTAGTTGACGATATTCACATGGCCCTCACAGCAATGATGAAGAAATGCTGAGATGAGCCTCAGTAAGATGAATATCATATGACGTTATTGTTATGTGTATATAAATATCATTCTTTCAATCATTTCGAAGTTATATTAGCTGGGCATTGTTTTCGAACAAAACAAAAAAAAAAACAACAAAACAACAACACAACAAACCAATGAGTTCAGTGAGAATCGTGACATATTTGACAAACCGCCATGTTTTTCATTTAGAAAACGCGTTAAAAGATTCATGATACGTCAAATCTTGTAGAGTTGTTTCCCATTTTAAAGAGATTGGGTTAGAATTGTATCAACAACAAATATTTTATCACACAATTCAAAATGTGTACGCCACACCGAGCCTCATGAGCTTAAATTATGCGTTTTTGTCGCATTGATGTTAATGCCAAGTTAATCGTCCTGACTAAAGCAAGGTAAGTGTGAGAACCTACGAGACTTGGTTTTCTCGGTAACAAAGAATACAATTTTTCCCTATCAGTTTAATTTTCTTTAAACATACACCAGTCACCACTTCAAAGAAAAATACTTTAAAAAAAATAAAACCATTAATAAATAATAATATTAAAATACTTTTGCAATGTTCCGACGATGCATTAACATTTAAATTAATAGAGGCAACATACAAAAAAATATAGCTTACCTTCAAGCACTGGGAAACCGATTGCCTTCTCGTCCGTATCACGCCTAAAGCGATTGATATCTTTCGTGAAGTCTTGGTGTTCCTTGTCTTGAATGTATCTGCTGTTCGCCACTCGGTAGCCCGTGATGAGCACTATTCCCAGAATGTACACGAGAAAGACGACTCCTAACCGATACAACTTCCGACGCCCTTTGTTCCTCCAGGGGTGGCAGGTTCGTTGTGATTCGGCATCTTGCCGGCGAAATGTGGACCGAATTTGGATCTTGGGCTGGGCGTCTGCCCCGTGGGGTGGTTGTCGTCTCGGGGAGCTGGTTTGATGTGCAGGCGTATAAATGGTTGTGGAAGAAGGGATATCACGGTGAAGTTTATGGAGGTCAGTATCACAGCTGTTCCTTGAAGGAAGATGGGAAGAACTCTTATCATTCATCTTGACCACGGAGAGGTACTGGTCAGTGAATGCGTGTCCTGACATTCTATCAGCGCGAGAGTCGTGGTTTGGGGGTTGAGGGTACACTGTTGCTTACAGACCACAATCTTCAGATGAATCGGACCTGAAACAGTTAATAAAAGCGTTGTCAAAAAAAACAACAAACCCCAACTCTTTATCAAAACTGTCATGATGTATGTTAGCAATAATAATTGATGACTGACGAATTTAATGCCTTATAATATAGTTCTTCAGTTTGACTTGGTGATGTGGAGAGGGAACTACAGCAGCTGGGAATACAAACGTGGAAAATAAAAGGCATCCATTAGGTCTAAGTTTAAGGATGTGGTGAGGCTGTCCTAAGCCTTACATGGGCTGTAGCACCACGGGGATGAAGGTATGAATTTAATTTTAATTTAGAAAAATAAAAATTTAATGACCACACCATACACACTTTGATTCAAGTTTTAATCTTAATCATTTAGTACGCTGGCTAGCAGCCAGCCCCGATTCATCTGCTGGTCTATTACAACATAATTGTGTTAACCAGTGTTTGCGCCAAGACGGAACACTTGACTACATTTAATCTAATATTGTTTCATTTGTGTAGCATCCACATTCGTTCAGTTTATCCAGCAGGTGAGAAGAGGAATGGATGGAAACTTGGCGTTGCTAGGATTTGAACCTCAGACACTCCCGACATCTTTGACTTACTTAATTTAGCACCGAGCGACTGAGCTGATTCAAAATTAGGCAGAGGCTCATTTCAAGGCATTGAAGATTGTTTTGCAGACACGATGCTATGTATTAGGCGCAGCTGAAACTTAGGCAAAATCTACGAGGAGCGGGAGAGAGCCAATTTATTAGAACAAGAAATACCAAACCCACGAGACGATCATTTACAAACAGAACTGTTAGAATCAACCAAAGAAGTTCTTGCAGCATTTAGAAACAATGACACTTGTGATGGTATTGTGAAACAATGACACTTTGGATGGTATTGTGAAACAATGACACTTGTGATGGTATTGTAAAACAATGACACCTTGGATGGTATTGTGAAACAATGACACTTTGGATGGTATTGTGAAACAATGACACTTGTGATGGTATTGTGAAACAATAACACTTTGGATGGTATTGTGAAACAATGACACTTGGGATGGTATTGTTAAACAATGACACTTGTGATGGTACTGTGAAAAAATAACACCTGAGATTGTATTGCAAAACAAGGACACTTGGGATGGTATTGTCAAACAATTACACCTGTGATGGTATAGTGAAACAAGAACATCTATGATGGTATTGTGAAACATGACACTTGGGATGGTATTGTGAAAAAATGACACTTTTGATGGTATTGTGAAACAAAGACACCTGTGATGGTATTGTGAAGCAATGACACCTGTGATAGTATTGGGAAAAAAGGAAACTTGGGATGTATTGTGAGACAATGACACTTGGGATGGTATTGTGAAGCAATGACAACGGAGATGGTATTGCGAAACAAGGACACGTGTGATGGTATTGTGAAACAATGACACGTGTGATGGTATTTTAAAACAATGACACTGGATGGTATTGTGAAACAATGACACATGTGATGGTATTTTAAAACAATGACACTTTGGATGGTATTGTGAAACAATGACACATGTGATGGTATTTTAAAACAATGACACTGGATGGTATTGTGAAACAATGACACATGTGATGGTATTTTAAAACAATGACACTGGATGGTATTGTGAAACAATGACACATGTGATGGTATTTTAAAACAATGACACTTTGGATGGTATTGTGAAACAATGACACATGTGATGGTATTTTAAAACAATGACACTTTGGATGGTAGTGTGAAACAATGACACATGTGATGGTATTGGGACAAAATGACACCTGAGATGCTATTGTGAAACAATGACACCCGTGATAGAATTGTGAAAAAAGGAAACTTGGGATGGTATTGTGAAACAATGACACCTGAGATGGTATTGTGAAACAATGACACCTGAGATGGTATTGTGAAACAATGACACCTGAGATGGTATCGTGAAAGAAGCTGATGCAATTGGAATTCCACTGAACCACGACAACTGCTCTGTTAAAAGGCCACAAAAAAAGCTCAGGCTATAGAAACAAAAACTATCGTAATATTTTGTACGGTCAACATCTGGTCAAACGGTTACAGAAACGGCTCAGACTCAAAACCCATGAAGACTCAACGCATGCCAGAATCCTTTTTGCGGATGCAGACAGATTCATCTCTGAACTCGATGCTCGATTTACATATAACTTTAGCATTCTGAAAAGTGTTTCGACATTAAATTAAGTTCATCAAACGTGGTATGCCCGGTTACGGTCAACGTTCTTGTGAAATAATATGCTACTAGCGGTAACGGGACTGTGATGACTCTCACACAACTGTCTTCTGCAAAAGTCTTATTTTAAATCATCAGAAAAAAGAGACATTGCGGACCATTCATCAACTTTGAACACGCATCAAGCGTGTTCCACATGGTTTTAGTGAACTTTTCTTTTTTTTTCTTTTCTTTTTTTTTAACCAAGTTGAATGAAAGTGTGTAAAAACTCTGTTCAAAATCAGTGCTCTGCTGGTAGCTGCATGTCTTAAAGATGATGCACACTGACGAAGTGATTTTTGCTTTTGGTCGTTTGAAACAAAGACGGTATTCTTTGTTTCATCCAATCGTTGTAGCAGGGTACATTTGGAATGCTATATGGACAACACTAGAGTTTGCATACATATTTCACATCGCTTGCAAGTTCCATTGCAGCAAATATATATAAATACATCAAAGCCTAATTTCGAATAATTTTTATTCTATTCAGTGAAAAAATGTCGCTTATAATATATAATATGCACACATCTTGCATAAACTGGTTTGTGCATGCAGACGAAATAAATAACTCAACAAGCCGGCCATGTTTTTTTGCTCCCCCACCCCCACCCAGGCCCCACCCCCTTTTTTTTTGTCCCTCTGAAAAAAACAAAAGAAATGATGTCCCTGAAAGCCATTACGCAGCATTTTCAATAGTTTAGATTTATTTCATTAACTAATAATGAAATGCAATGTCACATTAAGAAATGGCGTCAGCGGGCCGTCGAGCTAATGCTCTTTATGCCCTACTCAAAGCACACCCCTCTCATAAGCCCGGTATCGGGCCACGAAGAGGCATGTTAGAGATGTCCCTTTGCCAGGACAGTCCCAACCCGAGTCCACTCGATCGGGTTCCGCTGGGGGCCGCCCCAACCCAAAGACACCCGTTCTCGGTCCGACACTGTGATTGCACACAGTGCACACGATCGACTTTCTTAGGAGTTGGGATAGTAAAATTTGCGTCCTAATATCTTCCCCCTCCGATCCCAGAGAAGCGTCGGACGCCCTTAAAGAGGGTTTCTACAGTGTGTTTCCACTACGCAAATAATTTGCGAAGTAGCTGGGACGAAACGGTTGCCTTGGAACTGGATAGTGAAACAATACTAAATTAACCTTTGGCTAACTATTATTGTTATTTTATTTTCGGTCCTGACCTAGACGTCCAACAACAAAAGCGTTTTACGTGCATTTCTTTGGCATTTTCGTCGCAAACAAGCCTTTTATCAAGATTACAATTTTTTAAAAATATATTAAAAAAATAAAAATTCATATTAGTATAAATTAATCTAAATTAGATGTATATATTTACTAGTAAATATACCCGATGATGCCCGAGATCGCAAACGGGGAAAAAAAAACAAACTTATACAGCCTTTTAGCTAACATCAAAATTAAGAGGCCTGTACAAAAACACATCGATAAGGGAAAAAAAAATAATTAATAAAATATGGTCCCAAAGGGATCCCATTTCCCGTTCGGATCAAGATCCCCAGTGGGATACCCCCCCCCCCCAGTGGGATCCCCATTTCTCAGCAAGTGATCCATATCCGGTTCCCAATGTGATGCCGTTTCCTGAATGGATCCCGTTTCACTGATGGGATCCCTTTTAACGGTGGGATCCCTGTTCCCAGTGGGATCCCATTCCTCGATGTGATCCCGTTCCTTGTTTGATCCCGTTACCAGTGCGATCCACCGAGTTTCAACCAATCGTTCAAGCTGCAGGTCTTCTATATTGTCTTCAATTTGTAAGGGAAAAACCAATTGAAAAACGGCCCCAAGGGGAATATTATAAAAACGTTGAAACCTCCCATCATTTCATTCTGGATATTGATGGATATGCGTGCCAAGTTTGGTCAAGATCTTTCAATCCACAAAGAAACCTATGCGGGGACACCCCCCCCACACACACACATTTTCACTTTTATGATAAATATGATATAAATTTAGTTTATGCTTATAGTTACAGGACTAGATTTTGTTCTACTGAGATGTACGTGGTTTCCGATATTTCTGAGTTGTTTTTTTTATGATCCTAATTAAAGCATAAGATGAATTGTCTTATTTTCACAAGTTGTTTGTTTGTCATTAAATCTTCTGTGACGTAGATTTTTATAAAAAAAAGTAAAGAAAATGGTCAGTGGTGTCATGAAGCAAGCATGCGTTAATTCAAGGAGGGTATCAATAAAACACGTGCTTTTTTCATCTCAAAATGTGTTAATTTCCAATGACGTAACTTGGTTTAGTGCTCGAGGGCATGAGCGTTGGGAACGACTTAAAGGGACACATATGTTCCAGGTAAAAAACCTGTTGTTGTTACCTACCCTTATGAAATTGTAAGAAAAAATCTTTATATATCCTTTAAGTATCTTTTTTTCATTAAAAAGAACAATAACAAACCCAGAACCTGCTCAATAAATGGGAGAGGAAAATACTCTGAAAAATATAAGGTCTGGTTTTAGATCATGATGGATGCAGAAGTTATACAAACCAAGAGATTAATCAATAATGGTCCTAACACATATCCATAGTCGCGGCAATGAAAAGGAGCCGGTTGGGCTGGACAGGACACCTTCGGTCGGTGCCAGTTTGTAGAGCGGCTAAAGTAATCTAGGGACGGAAACGTAAGGGGCCGACGGCTCACCGGTCCACCAAGACTGAATCTAGAGAAGATGTATAGACAGATTTAGGTCAGCAGGGGGTTTTGCGCATGGAGTTAAAAA